GATTCATTGCATTGGTACATATAAAATAACTGAAAGCGACTTCTGACCTTCATAAGTACTTGAACAAAATGAAAAATTAATTGGTTTTCATATTTCCTTTATCTTTCCAGTAGTGATTGTTTCAGTTGCTGCTGCTATTCGATAATTTTTCTTCATCTCCTCTCTTTCAAATATTTCTTGATCAAACCTTATTTTTTTCCATATCATGTCTGTCTCCCTCCTCTCCTTTATTTCAAGTTCTTGGCGTTGTTGCTCTAAGTTGATTTTTTGTCTTCAAACTCAATTTCTCTTCTTCTAAATGTAACTGACTGGATTTTAACATTTCCTCCCTTGCCTCCTTAGTCTGTGAATATTCTAATGCACTTCTCCTTAATGACCCACTTACATTGTTCTTATTCTTTTGGAACCTGTAATAAGTTTTTGCATGAATTGAATTGAAAAATAGTTGGTACTTATACTATCACTTTTACTCTCTTGCGTTTATTTACCTAATATTATTTTCTCATTATGAGGCATTTTAGGTAATGGCTCAGGTATTGGTGAAAGTTCTTCCCCAGAGTTCATTATAGGAGATTTTTGTGCAGTTGCCTCCAGAGGCTCAATTTTTCCTAGTATAGGAATAACTGAAAAAAACAGATAATGTATTCCAGGAAGTCATAAACATATTTTGATATAACTGTCCAGTATCTTGAATAATCATAATTTGATCATAAACCAACTTTATTTTGAAATTAAAAATTATTTTATTAGTGTCTGAAATGAAATACAAAATAAGAAACCTTAAAATAAGTTTCAAAACTGCAATCAAATATTGCACTTACAAAAATAATCATGATCAAGATTATTTTCAGGCTTTTATTTCAAACTCTGAGTTCTGCCACCCTCATCTCTTCATGTTCTTCTTAGTTTCTGAATTCATTTTTCTTTGATAACTTTTTTTTGTTATAGGCTTTACATTTGCGTTATTACAAAGATCGCTTACTTCTTGTAGAAGCTGGTCTCTTTCGCTACATATTTCTTCCACTCCAGACCTAGACATCAAGAAACAAATGAGAAGAAATAATACTGATATGAGTATAGAATAACGTATGTAAATTATTTATATAGGTACCTACATTATTTGGTTTCCTTTGTCCCTTTTCAGCCATATTTCTAACATACGGAACAAGTGATCTTTTGAAGTTCTTATTAAAAACTTTTTTCTTGTTATCATTTGCATGTTGGTTTGAATTGTTTTCCACTTTTTAGGGCCTCCCAAAGGGTTTAAGCTAATGAATTCTTTGAGGAGAACCAAGTCGTCCTCTTAGAGATTCGCTAGTAATTTACCTGCAAAAAACATTAAAATTTTGCAAGACGTTACAATACGCATGGAAAATGAGCATATACCAACAAACTATGTTATAGATTTTAATAAAACTGATAAAAGTTATGTCATGCGTAAATATTTTGAAACGAAAGAAAATGAATTGATGAATCCTTACAACTAATACAAAACGAAAAGTGAGCAATGAAACTTCGAAAATAAGTAATAGTTCATCAGAAAATGTATATAGAAAAAGTAATATACTAAATGAAGTTAAAATAAACCCAGCGGGTAAAAATAACGGCAAGAGAATAAGGAACAAAACTCATGTTTGTTACTTTTGTGAAAAAATTCTCATTAATATGGCAAGACACTTTGAATTAGTCCACTCAAAAGAGACAGAAGTAAGCAAATACTTGATTTACCCTAAAAAATCCAAAGAGCGACGCGATGGTTTCAAGGAGATTATTCGAGTTGGTGACTTCTACCATAATTGTAATGTTTTAGCTACAAATAAAGGCGAACTAATTTTAATCCGTCGTCCAACAGAAAATGAAATAAACTTTATTGAAGTGAAAGATTATGGTCCTTGCCCTAACTGTTTGGGATTTTTATTGAAAAAACACATATGGCATCATCTTAAATTTATTTGTAAAGAAAAATTACCATTAGTAGATTCCAATTCCAAGCACGTTATTGCGGAAAGCAATGCCATAATGGCTGATATTTATGGTTTTGGATTTACAAAAGATTTAACTGATGCCATTCTATCAACGTTCAAATCAGATGATGTTGGTAGCATCTGTCAATCTGATATACTTATTATGAAATTTGGTGCAATGCAGTTCGAAAAATTTGGTAAAACACAAAATGAATTAATTCGTCAAACAATGCGGCAGTTGGTGCGATTAACAATAGCTTTGCGAGAAATATCAAAAAACTCCTCTCTATCATTGAGCGACTTTTTAGTACCAGAGAAATTTGATTTCATTATTCAGGCTACAAAAAGTATCAGTATGAGTCCATATAGTGATGAAACATGTCGACCAGACTTCCATACACCAAGTTTAGCTTTNTCAAACTACCTTGGTATAAGTTTATAGGCCAAAAAATATTGAATGGAATACTCAGTATTTAGGTGTCATTGAGCTGCAGACTTGAATTTTGACTTCAACTTATACATTATCATTAGTTTCAGCAAAGAAGAAAGCTCATGTTGCTCATAAAGTTTGGAGTCAAGAAGAAAAAGAAGCTGTTGTAGAATTTTTTCGAATGAATATTAAAAAATCTATCGTACCAGGAAAATCACAGTGTGTAAAATGTATAGAGGAGCATCCTGTGCTGAAATCCCGAGATTGGAAGAAAATTAAATATTTTATCAAAAACCAAATACAAAAAAATAAATGTTCAAAGAGAAATTAATAAAAAAATTAAGATTATTTCAAAATTTTTGTACTTTGATTCCTGTTCACAACCTTTGACATCATTTGAATTCTCTAAAAATATGGAACGGATTATAAAACATTTTTACAAACTGAAATATAAAATGTAACAAGTCTCAACCTTTGCATATTTATTGACCTGTTAAGAAACATCTGAATCGTTTTCAATTGTATTGATAAAGGATGGTAATTTAATGTGTTTTACTACTGAAAAACACCTTAATGTGAGATTTTCACGAAACAGCTTCAAAAACCGCAACACATGTCTCACTATACGTTATCTGTTTCAGGAATGTATTATATGGTAGTAAACTACACCTAGTAATATCAATAGCAGTCGTACACTCTGGTCTCAACTATTTTTTAGGTTATGTTATTATCTTAAAGTTTTTCGCATAACTTCTACATATCAGTTACATTACAACGTTCTATGTTACATTGCATCATATGTAACAGTGACATTTATGTTATTTTGAAGTTATAGCAAAATATCAGGGTAGGATACGTAACAATTTTACATGACACAAAATGTTAAAATGGTTCAATGTATCTGTGATTCTACATATTGAATAGTATTGTTGATCCGATAGATTACTGAAACATGTACCACAGCTATGCTTTTTTTAAGTACATAATTTTAGCACTTGAAGGGCCAATTTTTGAAATTGTGAGAATGTATTCTAGAGAAAGTGACATCATTTTCAAACATAATTCAAACCTGCCAATTATTATCATTTCACCTAGAAAAAAATGTGTCAAATTTTTCTACTCAGTGCAGAAATTATTATTTGACTACAATTATAAAAAAAATTATAATAGTTTCAAACTGATTATTATATAGCAATAATTGAAAATTTCAAAATTATCAAAAAATGTATACTTTACGTGTGAAAGTATTTCAACAATAACCTACCACTTTTTAAAGAAATGATAATACTAACTTTTACATGAAGAGCTTTTAGTCTTGTAGGTGATTATTTTCAATTCGAACAGTCATTGAACTCAGCATTAAGGAGCCCTTTTGCGTTATTGAAGACGAATTTCCTATTTTTTCTCATGAAAATCCCTATTATTCGTACTTAATGAAAAGATGTCAGTGATTCAACATTGTTCAGAACTGATTTTCTTTTCATACCAAGATATCATATCAGGATATAACTGTTAATAACAAACATAATTATGTCACTTCCCATATCTTTTTTTTTCCGTAGAAGAGCGATATGTGAAAGGAAAAAAATTAATAACGAATGGAAGAATCATAAAATAATAATGAGCTTGCTGATTACATAACTTACCATAACAACGTACCTATTAGTGAATGAAAAATGTTACCCCAGGACATCCAAT